CATTAAACTGACCTCCACGAATTATATCGCTTGGAAACTCCAAATTGAGGCCATTCTCATCAGATATGACCTCTACAAATATATTGATGGATCTCATCCGTGTCCTCCTCCCACCATCACCGCCAACAACGTTGAAGCTCCCAATCCAGATTTTCTGCCATGGATTCGACAAGACAAACTCCTGTTTGGAGCCCTTGTTGGTTCCATCTCCCCCTCCTTCGTTCCTCTCATCCAGCAATCGGCCACTTCCTGCGCTGCATAGCTGACTCTTGCCAATACTTATGCTCGCCCGACTCGTGGTCACATAAAGCAGATAAAGGACCAGATCAAGAGAGCCACCAAGGGCTCTCAATCCGTTTCGGACTACATGCAGTACGTCAAGTGCCGGACTGATCAACTTGCTGCACTCGGCAAACCGATGGACCATGAGGACATCATTGAGAAGATCTTGGAGGGTCTCGATGATGACTATCGTCACATTGCTGATATAGTGGAAGGTAGGGACAACCCCATCTCGTTTGAAGAGCTTCATGAGAAACTCATCAACAGGGAACTGACTCTTCAGCAGTTGCAAGCCACCTCCTTCCCGCATCCTGCCATGGCAAACGTTGCGTCGACCAGGTATAATGGTTCACGCCGCTCCTCGTCACACTAGACGCAGCCTCCTCACTCCGCACCTCGACAACAGCCCTCTCGACCTCCGTAAGCCGCCACTCGCCAGCAGAGGCCTTATCTCGGCAAATGTCAAGGATGCCGCCAACAGGGGATGTCAAGGATGCCGCCAACAGGGTCACACTGTCGCTCAGTGTCCCCTATTTCAGCTAGTGCCCGTCTCTTCGCAAGGCGCGCCCGTCCTTTCGCAAGGCGTGTCACGCTCCACGCCTAATGGATCACATTGGCATCCGAAGGCACATGTTGCCACAGCATATGGTGCCGAGACCCCAACCTGACTCCTCGACAGTGGGGCATCTCACCATGTCACTGCTGATCTCGGCAACCTATCACTTCACGCTCCATACGATGGGTCTGACGACATTGAAATCGGTGATGGTACTGGGTTACACATTTCCAAAACTGGTTCCTCTTCCCTCAAAACATCCTCTCATACCTTTCAATTACATGATGTTTTATTTGTTCCTAACATGAAAAGAAATCTTATTTCCATCTCTCAATTCTGCAAAACAAACAATACATCAATTGAGTTCTTACCATCTTCTTTTCGTGTGAAGGATCTACTGTTAGGGGCAATACTGCTGGAAGGACAACCTAAAGATGGTGTGTATGAATGGCCGTCCTCACATCTCGCACCTCGTCCTTCAGCCCACTCCAGTGTCAAAGTGTCTTCCAGTGACTGGCATCATCGTCTTGGTCACCCATTTGAGTCAACACAACGGCATATCATTTCCAAATTTGGTCTAGCTTTAGATACTTCTCTTTCAAAGCAATTTCATTGTAAAGACCGTTTCTGCAGTAAAAGCCATAAATTACCTTTTTTTCAATCGTCTATTGTGTCTACTTCTCCTCTCCAAATTATTTATTCTGATGTGTGGACCTCGCTAATTCATTCTGTTGATGGCCACAAATACTATGTAATCTTTATGGATCATTTCACTCACTACATATGGCTTTACCCCCTTAAGCGTAAATCTGATGTTGTCACTATTTTTCCTCGATTCAAAGCCCTTGTTGAAAATTTCTTCAAAAAGAAAATAGTCACCTTCTACTCAGACAATGGGGGGGAATACATGGGTCTTGCCAAATCCACTGGTCTCGCCACATACTTATCCACAAACGGCATCTCGCACCTCACCTTGCCGCCTCACACTCCAGAACATAATGGTTTCTCGGAATGTAGACACCGCCACATTGTTGAAACAGGTCTTTCTCTTCTCTCTAAAGCCTCTTTACCACTCACCTTCTGGTCATATGCCTTCTCAACTGCTACCTACCTTATAAATCGACTTCCCACACCCACCCTTCATATGTCCTTTCCCTATCATAAACTCTTTCACTCACCACCCAACTACTCTAAGCTTCGAGCTTTTGGCTGTCTGTGCTATCTTTGGCTTCGTCCATACTCCCCTCACAAACTCGCCTCTCGCTCAACCCCTTGTGTCTTTCTTGGCTACTCTCTAACTCAGAGTGCCTATTTCTGTATTGACCCAAGCACTCAAAAGCTTTACATCTCGCGTCATGTTCGTTTCATCGAGTCTGAGTTTCCAATGTCTAAAGTCGATCTGCATCTCGCCCGTCCTGATGATTCGACATGCAACACCTGGCTCCCACAACATGTCATTCTCCCGGCTTCATACACAACATCCGAAGATTGTTCCAGCGGCTCCTCGCCAGTCGACTCCAACACACAAACGAATATGGTAGAACAACAAGCCTTGCCCCTCGCCCTACCTTTCCCTCTTCCCGACCCCCCACGCACTTCGCCTACTCCCACAACCACTTTGCCACCTCTACTACCCACCCCATTACCCGTACCTTGCTCTTCGCCAACTATCCCTTTAGACTTACCCCCACCTGTCCAAGCCTCAGAAAACCCATTACCAACACCCTCGATCCGTACCTCGCCTATTGCCACCCATTCCCGAAACAACATCCACAAACCAATCACAAAACTTAGCCTCTTGGCCCAACTCGCCTTAGAAATTGAACCCACATGTGTAACTCAGGCCATCAAAGATGGCAGATGGCGATAGGCGATGTCCGAGGAGTTTGATGCCTTGGTTCGTAATGGCACTTGGGAATTGGTACCTCCCAATGGGGTGCAAATGGATTTTTTGACTTAAGCGTTCACCTGATGGCTCTGTAGACAGGTACAAGGCTCGTTTAGTGGCAAAGGGGTTTCACCAACGACCAGGAGTGGACTACCATGAGACGTTTAGTCCGGTTGTAAAGCCGACCACAGTTCGTCTCGTCCTCTCGCTTGCCGTCAGCCGAGGTTGGGACCTTCGTCAGCTCGATGTCAACAATGCCTTTCTCCAAGGCACCCTCACTGAAGATGTCTTCATGGTTCAGCCTCAAGGTTTTGTTGATGCCGACAACCCACAGCATGTATGCAGATTGCGGAAGGTGATATACGGTCTCAAGCAAGCTCATCGAGCTTGGTACAATGAACTTCGCCAGTTCCTTCTCGCATCTCGCTTCTTGAACTCAGTTGCTAATACCTCCTTGTTCATTCTCAATGACAAAGGTATAACTATCATGTTACTTGTCTATGTTGACGACATCATCATCACAGGTAACAATGCGACATCAGTTCAGGACTTCATCTCAGTCCTCACTCGTCGCTTCTCGCTCAAAGACCTCGGCACACTTCAATACTTTCTTGGTGTTGAAGTTGTTCTTAGCCCTCAAGGTCTTCTCCTCTCGCAACGACGATACATAGCTGACTTGTTGGCTCGAACAAAGATGACTGATGCTCGCCCTGTTGCAACTCCGCTTGCCACCTCGCCCATCCTTACACTTCAGTCCGGTACGACTCTTACTAACCCAACCGAGTTTCGAGCTGTGGTAAGGAGTCTTCAGTATCTTTCTCTCACTCGTCCAGATATTGCCTATGTGGTTAATAAGCTTTCACAATACATGCATCGTCCGACTACCAACCACTGGAACGCCGCCAAGCGACTTCTTAGATATCTATGCGGCACCATTGATCATGGGATCATGTTACATCGCCAGTCGCCTCTCACTCTCCACGCCTACTCAGATGCCGACTGGGCAGGTAACAAAGACGACTTCACCTCCACCAGTGCTTACATTGTATATCGCGGGCGAAACCCGATATCCTGGAGCTCAAAGAAACAACGTACAGTAGCTCGCTCCTCAACCGAGGCCAAGTACCGGTCTGTCGCCTCGACAGCTGCCGAGGTGAGATGGATTACCTCTCTTCTCAGCGAACTTGGATTCACACTCTCACAACAGCCGGTAATCTACTGTGACAATGTGGGCGCAACAAATCTCTGCTCCAATCCGGTCTTCCATTCTCGCATGAAGCATGTGGCTCTTGACTTTCACTTCATTCATGAACAAGTTCAAGATGGCATCCTACGAGTCACTCATGTTTCTTCGACGGATCAACTAGCAGATGCACTCACCAAACCACTACCCCGCACGCGATTTCTTGACTTGCTGATCAAGATTGGTCTCTCCTCATGGAGCTCCAACTTGCGGGGGCATAATAGAGAATTAAATTAATGTATTTAATTGTAATTATCTCTAGGATTCTCCCCTAAAATAGAATATTCTGTTAATATCTTCTCTAGGCTACTTACTCGATTTTGTTAGATTTGTTAATATTAGTTACCAAATTCTTGTAACTGATTGATTCTCTTGTAATCCTACAAATACCTCCTAACATGAATAAAAAGGATAGAGTGATATACTATTATTCATCACCTTCATTATCTCATATATATATATATATATATATATATATATTCTTCTTTTACATTTTAATCATAATCAACGATAAGATATGAAACCCTACTGATGGGAAGGCCTATCGTAGAAACTCCAAAATGAAAAAGAAAAAGAATCAACCAAAGTTTATGCTCTCTTTTTTGCTTAAAGCACATCCTTCCAATTTCACTTCAATTGATTCGACTCCAACAACTGAACTTATAAACACATTCTGCGAGATACGCCGCAACATTTTAACTAAAGAGAAAAGTATTGGGTCAAAATTTAAGAAAATTCTACAATAAGGTACTAAATTATTACGAATGCAATTTTGAATCCATAAATTATATTAGAATCATACTAGATTGACCACACACACACACACACAAAAAGACAATTTAACAAAACTTGATAAAAATCGATTGAACCTGTGCCATAGGGAATTTTTTGTACCCTACAATAGAATATTCCGACTGCCAATAAACTACATTCAAAAGTAAAAACCTTGTTTCTTTTTAAGAATGAAAGACTCGCGGCTTTTAAGATATGAAGAAATAGGCCTATATCTAAAATCATTTATCTAGGACAGATTTAATCAAGGTTCATACGTGTTATATAGTATGTATACATACGCACACACAGAGATCATTTATAGCCCAGAAAAGCACGTAGAAACAGGCTTTCATAGTCGAATATGTTCAAAGCCACGTTTATAATGTCCATAAATACAAAGGTTTTTCTCAACAATCTTGTACAGTTCAGTGATTCACAACAAATTTCCATGTTCACACGGAAAACTTTACAAGGTTCACAGAGAAGATCTTGTGAAAATGTAGACTTCATCGTATCCCTTCCTGCAAATAAAATCAATATTCATAGATTGAGACCAAAAAGATAAATTTCAAAGCTAATTAATAACCCAGTTCCAAGAGCGTTTTGGGCATACCCTGCCTTCCCACAATATGTAGGACTGTAATTGTAAATGAGGTTGTCAAGCACTTTCTGAAGAGGTGGTCTGTTTAAAGACTTCCTCGCTTCACTGCACGACAAATATACGGTTGAAGTAAGAGTCGGCTTCTAACCATTATGCCAAGCAACGGCACTTGAGAAACATCGTTTCAGTTTCTCTTTTTGTTTTCCTTAAGACATTGGTCTTATTTAAACAAAAGACCATATAAAGAACAAAGAACACAACGCAATAATATGATGAAATATTGGTCTTCAAAATTTGTTAGTCTTTCGAGGCTGTGAGCCTGTTCTGAAGATGCAGACAAGCATTACTATAATACTGCAACAAATAATGAAATGCTAAAAACATTGTCCCTGACCGGAAACAAGTCTCGACAATCAGTATATCTCTAGGTTCTGACCTGACCAAAAAGTTTGCTACATGCTGGGTCACGTGAATGGCATCCTCAGAGTGTGGAATCTGTTTCAAGCCCCACTCGAAAGCATTTTTCTGCACAATACACGGCATGTTAGAGAGAGAGAGAGAGAGAGAGATTCAAAGGCATGATGGACTCATTATCAAATCTTCGAGCATTATAGACTTACAGTTACAATGCTTAAGCTGTAGCCTGTAACACTTGCACAATGTAAACTAAATGACTCCGAAGGTATTTGAAACTGAAAGTTAACCAAATACCCTTTAGCACCACTAAAGTTAATAACTCATTTGGCTCTGTTACCAACATATACTTTCTGAAACATTGAGTGCACATGCACATGTAAATCCATCATGTGTGAACTTTCAACTCTCCACTTTTTAATGGTTAGAACTTCTAATTGCTTATCTGAAGAGAAGAGGAATGAAAGGTTTCTTTAGTAATGTTGGCGATCTCTATAATGACAGCAAACTGACTGGGGCAAAGGATAATTGTTTGATACAGATGGAGGATGCATTAATATAATAACATTTTCTTAAGGCAGTAAAGATAATAGTATGTGAAGTTAGGGGTTTTCTGTGATACAGGTGGAGGCGCCATTAACTTTAAAACATTTTTGTCTCCTCTTGCTTGTTCAAAAACCATTGAACTTCAAAAGAACCAGAACCATCAGTATTGTACCTCCAAGATAAAACATGTAAGCGGGATTTCATAATGCTAAACAAATTGGCCTCACTGAGGACATGGAGAAGTCGAGTAATCAGTAGTCTCATAGCAAGAAAGAATAAATTCATAATAAGTTAAAAAAGAAAAAGGGGAAAATACTCTTGACCAACAAGATAATGGAAGGTTAAGTGGATGAAAGATTTTAGTGTTCATGCATTATGCACGACATGCTGAATAACACAGTATAGTAATACCTCTGGATGCCATTGAAATGCAGTCACAGGATAGTTATGTGCATGAACTGTGGAAACGTAGACCTGAAATTAATGATGAACATTGAATAAATGAGAATTGTTTTAGGGGGAAAGGAACTTTACTATTCCTTTGAAAGTATCGTGATTCTGAAGTAACAATGGAACAAGAAACTTCTTTCAGTACCTTATTATCTTCATCAGCACTGGTTGTCAATATCTTAAAGAATTGACAAAGATCACGGTTCTCCTGAAATCTTTCTGGTGAGATACCATACTGTAGCATTGAAAAGTTATTAGTTATGACAAAAATACAGTTTAATTTGCAAGAAATATATACAACATTAACAGCAAACAACAAGAAAAATGCATATTGCGCTCAAAACAATTAAACTTGGAAACACAATCAACAGAACCCATTATCATAAAACATCAAGCAATATCATAATGCAATAACCACTTCCTAATCTCCCTACCTCAAGATTTGGATCTTGGGAAAAGGAAAGGTGAGAGCAAAACAAAATAAAAAACAACAAAGACTGGGGGGAACATTCCAGTTCTGAGCTAGTTACTATAATCAGAAAATTTGGAAATATGAAGGGGAGAAAAACTGTACTTTTAAAATCAGTCTAAAGTTTTGAAAAATTTAAGACTACAACGTTGAAGAATTGATGCAGTCGTATAGCTTATCTTCAGGAAGTTTATCTTTAATTATTTACATTTTAAATTGGGCCTTATATTTAGGACAGTTCTTTTCTATGATAAGCTTTAGGATTCGGATTTCGAATTCAATTAGAGATAGGATTTCCTTTTAATGATAATATTTAGGATTAGGAATTCAAGCTACATCAAGAATGAATTATGAATAGATCATAATTTGCTATCAAGGTAGATAAAAGTTTTCAAGAATTCGAACTCACTTTATGGTTTTGCATGATGAGACAATCCGTACTCAACTTTCTAAGCAAATCTGGAGGAAATCTGCAAAGATAATAATTAAAAAAATGAAAGAAAACAATAATGACTTGAAGAACTTTGAGTGGGTGCGAAGAATATGCTCATAAATGTACATATTGTTTGCTCCTATTAGTGTCCAATACAACACATGAATTGTGAAAAATCTGATAAAAAACATATACCTCTGAAATACAGTTCCTTCAATATTCACGTTCTGCGTAAACTGTAGCGTAGACGCCATATCTGATGCACTGAATGATTCAAGAATTTTGTTGTCCTGTTATCAAGAACAAGTTTATCAGCCACAAAATCAAAGAACGCAGACAATCAAAGAAGTATTGAAGCAATTTCTCATGAAAATAATTCAGAAGCTGAAAAAAATTCACCACCATTAGTTAAAGTGAGTAAGGTGATTCAAAACCAATGGACAACTATGACCTAGCAGACCAACAAAAGAGAAGTTATTAGCCAAAGAAAAGCAAAGAGCATAGTGAAAACGAAAGAGAGAATTGTGCCGTTGAATAATTTTGTATTGGAGGCTGGATGCTTAACCAGCTCACTGACAGGATATTTTCAGATTGGATTAAAAAAGGCAGGAATAACAAAGAAACAACCCCTTCCCCAAACCAAAAAGGCTTTTCCAAACAAGAACCGTCGGTCAACAAAAGAATTCCACAAATAAGGCAAATCGATGTTGATCTCTCGTTTTCTTCCAAAATTGATCTCGTCTTCGAATTCTCCTTGTTTTCTTCTTTCGATTGATCCTAAGTTAGTTGTTTTTCATCTATCATATCTGATCTGGGAAAATGAAATTCGCTTTTTGGGAAATTTTTCGTATTGGATCCGGGTACAAATAGAGTTGTGGAGAGGGATCCAACTCTGACGATGGTGGAGTTGTGGATTGAAACTTGTTCAGCATTTCTATGACATCGATACGAGGATGATCTGTAGTCAGGCAGTCTCACCGATCATAGTCGATATTCTCTACACTTCTCGTGTTGGGATTAGAGGTATTTATACGCAGCATTCTTCTAGTATCAAAGTTTTTTTACTGATTTGTTTGTAATGTATAGTTTTTTACTGCCAATAATTGCAACATCCTCTTGTTTTGAACAAAAAACTGACAACACATATTTTCCTTTTCATTTGCTTCGGATAGTTTTCACTTTTTTACTATTTTAGTATTATTTGAAGAATTATACAATCTTTTTTCTCATTGTTCTATCCTCCTGAGGCAGATTCTCTTCTGAATCTTTTACCTCTTTCTATTTTGACTACATTGTTTTTATTAGATTAATATCATGTATCTAACTTTGATACTTTACTTACTGTCGATTATATGTTTGTTATTACTTCCCCCTGAACACACTTGTCTCTGCTCTTAGGTTTATTAGATTCAAATGTTTGTATAATTTATTAGTACCGCTTTTTATATGAATAATTCTCTTGAGACTGTCTCCTTTAACCTTGTCTTATTTTGTTTCTATTATTTTCATTGCTTTTATTATTTATTTACCCAGTACCCTTATGATCTCTCTTCCATAAAGTTCATCAATCTCCTCTTGTAAGAGTTAAATAGTCTTCCTTATTGGGAGTTTCAACTTTATTAGCCATTAATTTTCTCTCAAGTCTTTCAAGATATTTTGCTGCTTCAATCTTACACCTTATCCCCTATTGTATTTCATTTAAATACTTCATCAATCTCTTCTTGTAAGAGTTAAATAGTCTTCCTTATTGGGAGTTTCAACTTTACTTGCCATTAATTTTCTCTCAAGTCTTTTAAGATATTTTGCTGCTTCAACCTTATCCCCTATTGTATTTCATTTAAATACACTTTTTTTCAAAATCTTCTGTTATTCTCATACTATGCTTACTGAAAAAGTTAATTCTATCTTTTATATATATGAATGATTTTCGTTTAAAAGCAGTTTCATGACCTCTTCCCTCTGTTTTTACAAATAAAATATTTTAAATTTCCCTCCTAATACAATAACTGCCTATATTCAGTTACTCACTGATATCTGTTTTGTATTTTAAAATTTTTATGTAAACGTTAACTCTACTCAAAATAGCTGCCTTCCTTCAGTTAACCCCAGATTTCTGTACCAAATTTTTACAATTCAAAAAATTATTAAAAATTAAAATATAAGTTAGTTATTACCTCTTTTTAAGACAACTGCCTTTAACAGTTATTCTCATAAATCCCTATCCAATTTTCAAAATTTAATAACTGCTACTCTTCTCCGTAATATTGCGTCTATTCAAACTTTAATAACTGTATCTTGATTTTAGTTTGGTTATAATTTTCCTTCTTGAGTTTTTACATTTTCTATGTATTTCAAATAAGGAGATATGGAGGTTTATAGGGAAAGTCTAAACAACCTTCCTTTACTTCCAACCTCAGCCAAGCAGCAAGCAGCATTCACCTCATTGGATTATACATTTTCAACGTCTCTGTTATGGTATTAGCCTTTTTATACGACTAACTGGAATTTTTAACTTTACAGAAAAGTCAATCTTTCTCACCTTTTTAATATTGATTTTGATTATGTTTCAATTCCTTTATTTATAGTTCTCCAATTTTTTCAAGTTCAGTTTGATGTCTCCAACAACTTTTTGATCCTTGATCTTTATCATGTCTTATTTCTTCTTCCATACAGTTAGATAAATCCTATGTGTTGTTTAACATCACATGATTTATTCTTGCTTGTTCCTTGGATAGAAAAAGGCATGAATGGTTGGATTTCTTTCCATCGTGGATTGTATCTATTTCAGGCACTTTCCGTTTACTAAAAAAAAAAAAAAAACTTCCCCAAACCACACCCACCCACCCCTCCTTCTCTGTCTCAAACGATGATCTGTAGCATTTATTTAAAAAAACAAAAACAAAATAACAGTTTTTTTGTCCTCCTTTTGACAGTTGAATCACACAGAAGTATCATCAGAAGGACAGAGAACAAATTCTAAAGCAGCATGTTAGACATTCCTACGTTCAGATTAAAAATAAGGGAAGCATGAAAAGATAACAAGAATTGTTAGTCCTTCCAAATCAGAATAAGGAGAAGGATGACTTACCTTGCTGATAATCATTGTTAGAATTTCAAAACCTAAGCAGATGGCATACAGTGGGAAATATTCTCCAGCGTCATTCCTCTCCAAAACTTTCTGCAGAAACCAAATCATAGGACAGAATTAGAACTACAACACAGGGTCCAAAATTTCGGATACATATATATATTATACATGTATAAACAGGAAGTTGGATAACTGTTTTCCACCAAAGTAGACGAATTCATGAAAATACTGCTGAACTGAAATTCCCTTTTGAAATTTAAGTTAAGGAAAATATAGTTTGATGGGGCTGCTAAGGTTCAGAATGCCCACTCTAGAAATACGCACTAGTTAAGGAGTAAATCAAAATGTTATACATATTCATCCGGTAAACAATTACCTTAAAAATTCTCTCAACAATTTCATAGTAGGGACCAGTTTTAGCCCAGCCTCCAGTGAAAAGTACTCCATTTACAAGATTAAGCTTCTGCAATACAGCTGAATTGCATTAAGAAACTGAAAATATAACTAGGACAGGACAGATTATCGCCAAAACTAACAGAAGTAACAGAACATAAACTCGTCTGCAGTAAATGAAGGTAACACATAGGATTTAATTTCACAAAAGGGCTGCACTTTTTCAACAATTATTAATCCCAAACTAACTTAGCAATAATAATCTTCAATGTGTACAGGATTTGTAAAAAGTAGGATAAATAGGGAATTGAGATTGTCCTATCACTTTGATTATATATCTCAATTAAATTTAATCTCATTTTTATAGTCTTTTATACTAACTGCCCGTCTATAAAATATAAATAAGCTTGATTTCTCCCCCTAAAAAAAAGGAAAAAAAAAAAAAAAAACAACAACAACTCGATTATGCTAACACCACAGACTATTGTTGACTGAATTGTCAGACCATTGAATCATTCCCTCTCTTGATTCTATTCTCTTTCCATAATTGTTCTATTCCATTTTATCATTTCTCTATACAACTGAATCCAATTATAAAAATTGTACAAATTATAGCACACAAAGAAATAGAAAATTTATACATATATATGTATATTCTCATCCATATAGACACTCACACATATATAAGTATATTCATAAAACATATATAACTAGGAGGACTCACCTGGAAAATGATTTCGGGAGGCTCGTTATAGATAATAGGAATAACGCGAGCCCCAGCAGACTCGACGAACTTGACATAAGAAGCGGCAATGTAGGAGGCCGAGGAAGCGTTGCTAAGGCGACCGGAGGCGCCGTCGCCGGGGTGACTGACGATGCCGATGACGGGGCGGTAGTTGAGCTTGGGGTCCGACGCCGGACACCTCGGCGGCGAGTCGCGATTGAGTTGACTCGGCAGGAGGATCGACTCCGGCTGGGCCTTAGCGGGCCCAAACTCCTTAGACAACGAAATCAGGAACGGAATCCAGAGGTAGCTCCACATCTCCGAGAGGCGAGAAGCCGACGACGAAGGCGACGAAGGCGACGAAGGCGCGGCGGCGGAGAGAGAGACAACTTCGGCAGGGATATCGGCGGCGGAGGCGGAAGAGTGAAGAACAACGTCGGAGGGCTTGCCGGCGGCGGTGGAGAGGGAGTTAGAGATGAGGTGGGAGGGCATCGGAGAAGAATGGAGATGGAAAGCGAGGGCTTCTCAGGTGCTGGTGAGGGTTAGGGTTTGGCATGGAGGAGGAGAAGAAGAAATTGCAGAGAAATTGGTGAGGGTTGGAAAATTGAAGAGAAAATGGAGGATCGGAAAATTGACCGAGAGGTTACTTAAAAGGGTCTTTCCTTGGGACTTTTTTAAGAGAGGACGTTTTAATCTCTCCTTTGAAAAGGACGTTAGTGGGGTCCAGCTAGCCTAAAGAAGAAGAAAGTTACATCATATAAAATTTATGAATATGCAGCCTGCAGCGCGGGCCCACCGTCCTCGCCTTCCGCACACTATGTTATTTGTCTGCATTTTCTGGTAGCCTCTCACGTTGATTACGTCAAATATTAGGACAAATTTTAAAAAGTATTAATTTTTTTGGATTAACATCGCAAATAGTCATGAGGTTTATCCATAATGTTCATGATTTTTAATGTATCCCGTTTAAATTACGTTTATTTTATTAATTTGAGTTTAGAATTTAAATTTTATTACAGTAAAGATTTTTAAAAATAGTCACATTTAATTTTTTTGTTATAAAAAAAGCTCTCATATAAAGTCATATCTCAATTCTAATTAAAAATTCTAATCAACGAACTGAACGGACATTTAGTCTTTAAGGCTACATTCTATTATAGTTTCAGCTCTTCTACTATTTATGGGGACGTTTGATACGCAATAATTAATAGAAATCGTGTTCTTGAAAAAATGGTAGAGAGTAATATGATTTTCAATAATAATATATTATTATATTTGGTTCTATATAAGAATTTTGTCTCAAATTTTTAAAAATAATACATTATTGTGTTTAATTGTGTATTAAAATATTATATATTAAAAAACATATTTTTTTAAATGAATTACAATTCACTAATATTTTTTAAAATATTTAACCCATAACATTAACACTAATATTTTTTAAATACTTTTTAAATATATATATAAAAAATACTAACAATTTTAAAATTAATAAAAATCAAATAAGTAAGTTTATTAATTGAATATAAAAAAAAAGAATATCACTCACCCTCGCGATCTCTCTCCCTCTCACCACCAATCTCTCTCTCCATCTCTCTCTCTCTCGCGGCCAGTGAGGTCTAGATTTCACACCACAAATTCGACGAGGTATGTCTTTCACGCGACGGAGGGCGGCGAGGTTTGGGTTTCATGGAACGAAGGCAGGTGGGGTTTGGGTTTCGTGGAACAGAGGGCGGTGGTTTCTAGGTTTTGCGGCACAGAGGCCGACGGGGTCTAGATTTCACAAGACAGAGGTCGGCACGGTCTAGGTTTCGAGTGACGGAGGCCAACAGGATTTGGGTCTCGTGCAACAAAGGTCGGCTCGATTTGGGTCTCGTGCAACGGAGGCCGCGGGTGGTGTTCGATGGTGATTGGGTTGCATGATGATTGCTGGCACGGAGCTGGGTTGGTCATGGGACGTTGGCAAGGGACTTGATTGGTTGTTTGATGCTGGTGACGTAGGGCGACAAGGTGGGGGCCGTGTGGCTGTAGATGTGACGACTGGCAGAGATGTGGGACGGTGGCCGTAAAGATGGGTGTAGTGGTGTGGCTGTAATGATGGTGACTATTGGTTGTTGGTGAGATTCCCACCTTCTTAGGATTCCGCATCTAAATATCACCTTTTTAGGTGGTATTTAAATTATCCCAAAATGAGAGAAAGTGAATCCTGTGGGATTTACTTTCTTGAGAATCTAAAAATTGTAAGTCTTATACCAAACGCGGTAATTGTTTAATGTCCAAAAGTGATATTCACAAGCGGTCGATTGTAGCACAGAAGGGCGGTCGTATCCACAAAAAGATAACAAAATAACAAGAAAATTAGCAGAATAAGAGCATTAGAGAAAAATAAATAACAACTGAATTAAAGGAAAATAAGAGTTTTTGAGATTTTTGTTGTAAATAAAATGGATAGAAGATTTGTGTGGAAGAACTTCAATAGTAAAAACGGTAAGGTGTCGAGAATCCCTAATGTTTCGCTCACCAATTCAAGTTTTGATTCACAAAATAAAAGAATCGAATAAATTAAATCTCTATGTTGACTCCGAAAATATTATTATTACAAGTTATTCAAAATCGACAATATATCAATTTAACAATATTGCAGTAAAAGACAATTTGTAAAATAATTTGAATAACAAAACAATACATGACATAATTACATAAGAAAAGCGTGACTGAACTTATATAAAAATTGGCACACAATATTTTGAAAAGTAAAAGAAAGATATGTGAGATTTAATTCATTCAAATATTAAACTTTACAGAACAAGGAATCAAAAACCCGAATTGGGTCACTAACAAAAGTTCATCTCTAACCTCACCAAAAGAACTCTAGCCTAGCTTGCAAAAACATTCTCACAAGTTCTAGAGAGAAAATATGAGAGTGACAGCAAGACGACAGAAAACTGAATATTCAAAGCTTCCAAAAACCTTAGCCTAACCCTCTTATTTATAGTGTTCAGAGGTTGCTTGTCAAATAAGAAAACAAATCATAAAAATAGAAAATTACAAAAGAAAATGAAACAAAATAAAATTACATATAAATTAGGAGAAATCATATATATATATATAATTTAGGGAAGAAATCTAGCCAATTTGCTCTGATTTTAAAGGAGAAATTCGGATCCAACCCCCTCAGACACGTGTCAAAGCTGGGTTGGAGGAAGTGGACTGAAATTCCACGTGTCGCGTGCGGAGAAGAGGAAGGGCGCTGGCAGACAAAGGGAGCTGGGGTCTGCGGAGAACATCTATCACGCTTGGAGAATAAGGCAGGCTGGCATTGCAGGTGTGGGACCCACGCGGAGGAACACTTTTAACGCGTTATGGCTTGCTCGTCGAAGAAACGCGCCTTAATGGTTAGGCTGTGCAAGATGTCTAATTAAAACTTGTACGGCCATAAGATTTGGCCATCGATCTTGACTTCCAATTTTTAGTTTCACAACTTTTGTAACGTGCTACACACGTATTACTTTATTGGAGACACCTGAAAGTTTATTATTTACCGAATAATAAGAAATTCATTTATACTAACTATTTAAGGATTTTTTTGACAACAAAAATTAAGTAAGGACACTTGAAGAAATTTATTTTAATCAATTAAAAATAAAATAGGAATACGTGTGAAAAAAGTACTCTAAAAAATAAAGTGAGAAACAATATATTTTTAAAAAACACAAAAAAATAAAATGTAAAAAAGATTCAAAAAATAAAAAGGGAAAAAAATATAAATAAAAGAGCTGCCAAGCGACAACTCTATAAAAAAGAACTTTAACTCTTTTATGTATTATTAGATTGTTAGATTAGCTATATTAGAATTGAATTCCATAAATGTGAAATTCCAATAGCTAACAAAAAGAGAGACAAGAAAGGGAAAACATGTTTTTCTCTTTTTTTTTCTTTTTCCTTTTCTGAAAAGTGTTCGTACTCTATGCTAATTTCCTTTCTCTTCTCATTCTACCTTGACTTTCTGGTGGACAAAAAGAAAAAGAGAAATCAATGATGACATAATAGCAATAAGGAGCGCATACATAAAGGTGAAAAGCCTTACTTGCAGATCAAGTGTCAAAGAGAGACCTTAGCATTGTCTAGCATCTTTCTACCTCTTGCATACTTTTAGCTTTTAGTGTTATAGGTGCTCATCACTTATGGTCATGGAGATCGTAACAAGGATCTTAAGCTTAAACCTTTCTAATGTGCAGGGTCCTCTACTAGAGGCAAGCACAGAGCAGCACTGTCTAGCGTCTTTCCGCCTCTTGCGTACTTTTAGCTTTTAGTGCTACAGGTGCTCATCACTTATAGTCATGGAGATCGTAGCAAGGATCTTAGGCTTAAACCTTTTTGATGTGCAGGGTCCTCTACTAGAGGCAAGCACATAGCATACTGAGTCAGGAAGAGAAGTGATTATGATATAAGAAGAGGAGCTCAGAATTTTAGAGGAGAAGTAAAGCTGTTTAGAAACTCATATTTTTATTGAGCAAACTTGTTTATACAAAGTTCTCTTGGTTGAAGGACTTCTGCCTTCTCAAGAGAATAGCCTCGCCTTATATAGTTGAGGCAGCACACAAATGACTCTGATCTTATCTGACAGGATAAGATTTACACTATTAACCTTTTGACTTATGTGACAAGAAAACAAAAGACTTTAAGTAAAACGGATTTCTACTATTCCGCCTGTGACGAATTAAACAAGGATAAGGCCACTTTCGGTGGAGTGGCAGACAAGCTATTATTCTACTTTTGACTTAGACGGAAGAGGACAAGCTTCTGTACAGAGAGGACAGCTGAGAGGGTCTATGATTAACGCCCAAAAGTGATATTCACAAGCGGTCAATTGTAGCACAGAAGGGCGGTCGTATCCACAGGGAGATAACAAAATAACAAGAAAGACTAATAGAATAAGAGCGTTAGAGAAAATTGAATTAAGGAAAAATGAGAGTTTTTGAGATTTTTGTTGCAAATTAAATAAAAAGGAGAAACGATTTGTGTTGAAGAAAACGGTAAGGTGTCGAGAATCCCTAATGCTTCGTTCACCAATTTCAGTTTTGATTCACAAAATAAAAGAACTGAATAGATTAAATCTCTATGTTGACTCCGGAAATATTATTATTACAAGTTATCTAAAATCGACAATATATCAATATGACAATATTACAGTAAAAGACAATTTGCAAAATAATTTGAATAACAAAACATTGCATGACAGAATTACATAAGAAAAGCCTGAACTTATATAAAAATTGGCACACAATATTTTGAAAAGTAATAGAAAAATAGATGAGATTTAATTCATTCAGATGTTGAACTTTACAGCACAAGGAATCAAAACCCCGAATTGGGCCACTCAACAGAAGTTCATCTCTAACCTCACCAAGAAAACTCTAGCCTATCTTGCAAAACATTCTCACAGGTTCTAAAGAGAAAATATGAGACTGACAGCAAGACGACAGAAAACTAAATATTAAAAACTTCCTAAAACCTTGTTCGGATTGATCACCAACTCAGACACGTGTCGCAACGTGATTGGAACTGAGGAGTAAGGCCGCCACGTGTCGCGCGCGGAATGGAGGAAGTCTGCTGGCAGTGGTCAGGCGACGAGGGAAGCTGGCCGACACTGGGGATAAAACTGAGACGCGCTTAACTACT